TATAGGACGCATGCGCTCGCCAGACAGACAGAGAGAGACAGAGAGACAGAAAGTGAGAAATCACCCCCCAGAGGGGATGGCCACGCTGCAATCCCTTCTCCTCCATTCTCCTCTTGGGATCTTGGGCACGCACGCATAGGCGCCCGGCGTGAGTTTAAATCACCGGGTCCGGGACTCAAACCACGGTCGACTACGTGGGAGTCCAGCAACATAGCCATTATGCTAACTGCTGGTCCCTGATTAGGCTTTTTAAAAATTAATTATTATTATGACTTTACTGGCCTTATCCAGAAAAGAAGCTGTGAACATTATGTTCAGTTTGCCTCCCCTCTACTGCTTTTCTGAAAGCAAATGTGCATTTATCCTCGGAAGAGTGTACGTAATACTGCTCGTACGTCTGTATACATCATCTGTTTTTATCTGGTCACAAATCTACACCTGTGCGTAGGGTCACGTGTGAACACATGTGCCCTCATTCATGATGTGTTTTATATTTTTATGACACACACCTTTTTAATTTTCTGTGACATTCACTCTCAAGAGAGGCTTTGATTGAGATTAAAATTGGCTGGGGTCGGTGACGCACACCTGTAGTCCCAGCTACTTGGGAAGCTGAGGCGGGAGGATCGTAAGTTCAAGGTCAGCCTGGGCAACATGGCAAGACCCTGTCTCTATAGACAAATAAATAAGTAGATGAGGAAATTACAAGTACATTAGCCGTTTGGGATGGCTGGATTATGCAGTCTCTTTGGAGCCATCTGAATGAAAGGCTTGAGGTAAATGGAAGGTGACCGTCTTTACCTCCTCATTAATGAAGGGTTACTACAGCTCTGTGGGAGTCAGTGCTCCCAAAAGCCGGAGCTTGGCAGGGGTTCACTGTCCCCGTGCGGGCAGTGGTCTAAAGGTCTGCTGGTCACTCTGTGTGTCTGTGTGTCTAGACGCTGTTCACAGACCCCGGCCAGGTCGCATACGTGCAGCAGGATGCCACGGCCCAGCAGGTAAGGCCCCGCCTTTGCCCTCTGCTGTCCAAGGATGACGCTGTGAGTGTTCTGGCCCCAACGTGCCCCGTGCCGTGCACTGTGCCACCTCTGGGTGTTCGCCCAAGGGAGTCTCCAGCTTTTCAGTGAAAGTAAAATAAATCACCCTGTAGCGCTAACGCATCCTGCCAGGCCTGTTGGAACAGCCCTGCTGACGAACAGTAATTTGTCAGGGACGTTTGTAAAGAAGCATATGAAAAGAATATTGGCTCCAGTTTCAAAGAAATTATGAGTTGTCGTTTTCTTTTTAATTTGCTAGTGGGCATGTGTGCTCATTAGAGAATGAGAGAAGGAAGGTGAGAAAGCATCTCTCATGGAGGGGGCAGTCATGCCACGATCTTTTCTCCTCTGTTTCTCCCCTTGGGATTTTGGGCACGCACACACACGTGCCTGGTGTGTCCTGCAAGCTGCTGGGTCTGGGATTTGAACTGAGTGGCTGAGTGGTCAGGGGTGTGGAATCTGGCCACCCCATCCACTGCACCACTGGCTGGCTCGTGAGTTTTCAAAATTTTATTTTATTTTTTAAGTTTGGAAACATTTTCATACTTGTTCTAATTTTAGATATTGAAAAAAAAATCCTTATATAAAGAATTTTCAAAGGGTTCATAGAAAATGCATATTATGAGAAAACTATGCATGGATTCCTATGATTTTTTAAATTGAGGATGCATGTGCTTGCCAGAGAGGGAGAGGAGAAAGCACCCAGTGGGGTGTGGTCACTCCACAAGCCCTTCTCCCCCATCTCTCCATCCTGTCGGGATGTGGGGCATGCACACACACGTGCCCAGCAAGTTCTCATCTCACTGGCCCAGAATTCAAACTCAGAGTGGCCATGCTTTACCACTATGCTATGGGGCCAGACTAGGATTGCACAACTGTTTTGCACTGTGCCTCAAAAAAATAAATTCGGGGACCAGCAGTTAGCATAATGGCTATGTCGCTGGACTCTCATGTAGTCGACTGCGGTTCAAGTCCTGGACCCGGTGGCTTAAATTCCCGCCGGGTGCGAGTGCATGCCCAAGATCCCGAGAGGAGAATGGAGCAGAAGGGATTGCGGCATAGCCATCCCTCCTAGGGGGGTGATTTCTTGCTTTCTGTCTCTCTGTCTCTTTCTGTCTTTCTGGCAAGCGAATGTGCTCTATAGGGGTAATTTTTTTTTTTTTTTAATATAATGGAGGGCACTGTGCTTGCCAGAGAGAAAAAAGAGTGAGAAAGCGTTCCCCGTGGGGATGGCCACACTAGGGTCCCTTCTCCATTTTTCCTCTTGGGCTTTTGCATGTTTTCTAAGCTGCCAGGTCCAGGGCTCGAACTGTGGGGTCAGCCGCCTTGCCATTGCCATTGGTTGGCCTGTATCATGTTCAGTTCCCTAGAGTTGACCTATTAGGCCTGATACAGGCCAGCCAGTGACATGGTGGCTAAGGCTGCTGGATCCTATATGGCCACATGCAATGTTCAAGTCCTGAACCTGGAGGTTTGAAAAACATGCTGGACATTTGTGTGTGCATGCCCAAAGTCCCCGGGAAAGGATGGAGGAGAAGGGATTGCCATGTGGTCATCCCCCCAGAGGGTGATTTCTCACTTTCTCTTTCTCTCTCTCTCTCCGTTGAGGGTACACACCCTCTAGCAAATAAAGAAAAAAAAAATTAGTGTGCGAGAAAGTAGGTGGAAGTTTGGTTAGAATGATAATTATCGAAGCTGGGTGATGGGTCCATGTCTACTCCACTGTTCCACTTGATGAATACATCAGAAATTTGTCCTTTTAGATCAGGGGATCATTTTGATAAGTTTCTATATCGCTTTTCAGACCCTGGAAAGGTTTGTCTCTGTATTCGAGAGGGCCCATTTCCACACACCCTTGCCACACTGGGTATTTGTTTTCTTTTTAAATGTTGCCCATCTGATAGGCAAAGTGGTGTTTCGTTGCTTTACTATTAAGGCGTAGGTTTAATGAAAGGTTTTGTTGCTATTTGCACCTCAAAGGGCCCTTCATCTCCTCTAATCTCCAGAGGTGATCAGGTTGCTTCATGTTTTGTGCAGAAGGAAAGTTGTATGTACCAGAGCTCCAGAGCCCTGGCATGACCGGGGCGTCACTGTTGGCCTGGCTTCCCGGCTTCCTGGCTTCTTTTCTGGCAGGAGCGAACACCACATCGAGGACATGCGTCCACTCGGGAGCCCCATGGCACGCGAGCCTCCTGAGCGTTTTCCTTCCTGCAGCCTCTCCGCCCGCGCGGTTTTGATTTCTGGCTGCAACACCTCCGCGGTCGTCAGTTTGTTCAGTGACCTGGCTACGTCCAGGTAGAAAGTCGAGGGAGGCTTTAACCCAGACGGCGGCGTTTTTCGGTGTCAGTGGTGCCATGTGCCTGCAGCCTTCCTCGCGTGTGCAGTCCTTGCCATCGAGGGGCGTCGGTGGTCTCAGGCTGGGAGCCCAGGCTGCTCTCTGTTTCTGGAATCCCCGATGGTGCTGGCATGTGCGACGCCCACGCGCTGGGCAGGAGATGGGCCACGCTGGTCCTGGGGTGGGACAGGGCGTGGGGCAGCCGTGGCGGCTCCCAGCTTCCCTTCGCAGATTCGTTACACCCCGAAATGCAGTCGTGTTTCAGAAATGATGTGCGCTCCCCTGGGGAGGGGGCGCACGCTGCAGTGGAATGCCCTCTGCCTCTCCTTACTGCAGCGTGTACGTGACGGGGTGCCCGGGGCGAGCGGTCTGGTTCCTCGCTCACCAGCCCGCTGCCCGGCTGCTCCCTGGGAGTGTGTGCATGCATGTGGCTGCCCGCCGCTCTGGATTCAAGGAGTGGGTGAGGTTTACCTCCTCTCTGAATACTGAGTCCCACAGGGGCCGTGCGATGTCCTGGGAAAGGCCGGGCAGAGCAGGTTTCACTGTCATCTCTACCCTCAGGAGCCGGGTGACTTCGTGACCTGGCCTCAGAGGGATCTCAGCCTAGCCAGGCGCTCGGTGACTGCCGGCTGCGTTCGAATCTGTTATTCACGAGTCAGGTTCGCCACGCACGGCTACTGCGTGTTCAGGGCCGTGCGGTCCGCGAACATGCAGCGCTCCCCTGGAAGTGGTCGCCAGCTCTCCCCTGCCCTGCCGTGGGGCAGGCGTGATGGTGCGTCGCGCCTGTCCAGGAGGCGGTGCAGGAAGTGAGGCGGTGCAGGAGGTGAGGCGGTGCAGGAGGTTCGGCCTGCGCCGTCTGCCGGCCCGGGCTGTCTGTCAGCAGCAGTTCTAGCATGGGGAGGTGAGGTTGCTGATGCTGTTTTCTTCGTTTTGTTATTTCTTCAGACAGAGACAGAGAGGGGGGGCACCCCTAAGGGTCTTTGTGCTGCAGCCCACCCCCACAGTGCCCATCCGCCTGGGCAGTGGGTGTGAGCCAGTGCCTGGGGCGTGTGCGGGGAGGGCCTACGAGAACCCGGGGCCGGTGTGACGCGCACCGCGTTGCTGCTGCGCCGCCATGTGGCCTGTCGGGCCTGCTTTAATGTCAGCGTTCTTGGCCGGTGCAAGAAGGCAGCAGGAGCACTTCTCAAAAAAAACAAAAGTCTTTCTGACAGCTTCCGCTGGGAAAAACACATCGCAGCTTCACTAGAGCTCCGCGCTCTCTCTGGTCGGCTCTGCAGAGAGAGGGCCTGTGAGCAGCGGCACGTGCACACCGCAGCCTGTCCGGCTGACACGCTCATCACGAATGCTGGCCTCGGGTGGCAGGGGCTTAGGACACAGGGTGGCGCCTTCATTGTGCTCTCAATGGCGTGGAACGAAGTCACCTTCCGAAGGACCTGGGGAAGAGGCAGAGGGCACGTGGCCAAGCGCTGGCATTGCCGGAAGTCCCTGCTCTTCTCATGGGCTCTTCACTTTCAGACATTTTGTTTTGTTTTTATTTTATTATTTATTTATTTATTGGGTTTTCGCCATAGGGCACATGCACTCAGCAGAGAAAGATAGAAAAGCAGAGAGGAAGGGAGAAATCAGCCCCCGGGGGTGACTATGCCGCAATCTCTTCTCCGTTCTCTGTTGCGGTTTTGGGCACGCACGCACATGTGCCCATGTGATTTTCAAGCCGTGGGGGCTGGGACTTGAACTGTGGCTGACCCTGTGGGAGTCCAGCACTTTAAGCACCATGCCACCTGCTGGCCCTATTTTTTTGTTTTTTAAATGCTCTTTTCTTGTTTTTAATTGCCAGAAGGCACGTGCGCCTGCCAGTGAGACGGAGAAAGGGAGAGAGTGCCCCCAGTGGGGTGCGGCCGCACAGCAACCTTTTTACTTTTTAGTGTGCATAGGTGCTTTTGCTCACGGGTCTGAGGGTAGGGAGGACGGGGGAGAGAGAGAGAGCTGTGCTGCATCCCTCCCTCCATTCTCTGGGTTTGGGCACACACACACACACACGCCTGGTGTGCTTCTCAAGTCACAGGGTTGATTCGAACTGTTGTGTTCAGTCATGTGGGATTGAGCCACCTTAACCACCACGACACTGACTGGCCCTATTTTTTAAAAAAAATCTCTTGGGGCTAGGCAGCGGGATGGTGGTGAAGGTGCTAGGCTCCCACATGGCCAGCTGCAGTACAAGTCTCAGGCCCAGCGGCTTGAAAATCATGCCAGGCATGTGTCCATGTGTGCCCAAACCAAGGAAGAGAATGGAGGAAAAGGGATTGTGGTGTGGTCACCTTCCTGAAGCCTTGGCTGCTCCAGAGTGTGGCAGGGGGAGCTGTCAGCCTGCGTCTGGCCCGCGGTGTGTCACACCGTGCATTTGGCTTTGAAAGCAAAGTGGCGAGATAGGCCAGATCATTGTGTCCTTATGAGTGGCCACTCTGAGAAGGCTGGAGGCCTGCCCTGGTGTGGTCCAAGCAGCAGGCCAGTGAGGCCCCAGCAACGCCCCAGGCAAGGGTTACTGTGCATATGCGTGAAGTCTCCCCGAGAGCCGTGGGGAGCAGGGGAGGGCTGGACTTTGCTGAGCAGGACTGGCCAGGCCAGGAGGGAGCCCAGGAGGGAGCCCAGGAAGGAGAGGCTGAGGGCAGGCTCCTCCTCACCTGTCAGTGGGAGCCGTCTTTCCAGGGCTTTGATGGGGGCTGGTGGGGAGAATGCATCCCATAGCCACGTGGACTAGCTAGCTGGTTGGCTGACTAGTTGTAGTTAACACCAGCCCGCTGAAAGCAGATCCCCTCACGTGGGCTTTCCCTCCCGGCCAGGCCTCGCTGCCGGTGCATAACCAGGCACTGCCTGCCATCGACAGTGTGGACGGCTCCGACCCTCTGGCATCCCTGCAGAACCCGATGGGGAGGCTGGAGGCCAAAGAGGAAGAGGAGGACGATGAAGACGAGGACACGGAGGAGGACGAGGAGGAGGACGGGGAGGACACAGATCTGGACGACTGGGAGCCCGACCCACCCCGGCCCTTCGACCCACATGACTTATGTAAGTGGGGTGCTGTGCTCCCCAAGGGAGTGTCCTTTCCCTGGTGCATGGGAATACGGGTACGGGTCCCTCCTGCACACACGCTGCACCGCTGCCCTGCTAGCACCAGGTCACTCCCATGTGCTTACCCATTTTACCATGGGTGAACTGAGGCCCAGAAGAGGTCAGGCAGCCTACTGGGGTCACTAAGGGATGAGAGACCCTGGCGTCCTGCTCCTCCATCTTCTGGCCTGTGGCTCCCAGGTGGCTGCCACGCGGCAGGGACGAGCTGGCAGGAGGCAGCTGCGCAGCGAGCTCCCCCGGAGAGCACTGAATGCGAGTGTGCTGTTGGGGCCGGGCTAAGGAGCACCGGGGCAGGAGGGCGGATGCCCTCCGCGGGCAGTGTGGTAAAATCGGCCGCACAGTTCTTCTCCCCTGAGTTAGACGTGCCGGTAATGAGGCCTCCTTGTCTCCCTTTGAGGAAATTCACTCAACTGCTCTGTCGGAGTTGTCGGGTTTTTTTTTTTGGTAGCAGCTTTATTGAGACGTAACTTACCTGTTGAAAGTTTGGCCCGTCAGATATGGTCACACTTAGCTAAACGAGCTCTCCTTCTCTCTCCACAACTTGTAATTAACCTGTCAGCTTCGGGTCCCGTGCTCAGATTTCTGCCCAGCAAGGAGGTCAGCCACAGCCCACATAGTACTGTGGGCAGGTGTGAGCGAATTCTGTTGATTTGAGAGGAAAATTACGGGCCTTGAACTGGCCTGTGAAAGCTGACATGCGTGGGGAGGCGGGCAGCTCCACTCTGAGAGCTAGCTAATCTCGTTCGGAGACTGACTTGGGTGTTTTTTCAGATCAGAGCATTTTACCCAGGATCAGCTGTGCTGAGGAATTCAGCTTTCTCCATGGCTTTCTCCCCCAGGGTGTGAGGAGTGTAACAACGCACACTCTTCAGTGTGTCCGAAGCACGGCCCCTTGCACCCGATCCCCAACCGACCGGTGCTCACGCGGGCGAGAGCCAGCCTGCCCCTGGTCCTCTACATAGACAGGTTCCTCGGAGGCGTGTTCTCCAAAAGGCGCATCCCCAAGCGCACGCAGTTCGGCCCTGTGGAGGGGCCCCTGGTCCGGGGCTCGGAGCTGAAAGACTGTTACATTCATCTCAAGGTAACTGGGCCTGTGGAGGCGCTGGTTCTGGAACAGTTTCAAGGGGTGTGCACTTCTCCACTGTCCTCCTGTTCCAGTTTCATAGTAGGCACCTGCTCGTATTTTTCTTCCTGGGCTTGATTTGTTTTCAGGTTTTTGCCATAGGGTGCATACACTCTCCAGGTAGAGAGAGGGGAAGAAGTTACCCCCTGGAGGGTTGGCCACACAGCAGCCCCTTCTACACTCTCTCCCTGGGATTTTGGGCACATGTGTGTGTGCCCCGTGTGATTTTCAAGCCACTGGATCTAGGACTTGAACTGTGGTCAGCCACGTGGGAGTCCAGTGGCCCAACCACTATACCAGCTGCTGGCCCCCTGTTATCTGCTTCTTAGGTCACCACTCCAGAGAACGAAGAAAAGCAGAGGGCAGGGGTAAATATTTGGGTGGTTGTTTTGTTTTGTTTTTAGAAATCAGCTACTGTCATGGAAGGTTTTCTTTGGTGAGCTCCATCTCTGAGAAGATGTTACCTTGTAAGGGCTGTATGTGGAAAATGTGGCTGCATATATAGCTCTGGCAACGTATTACAAATGAGTGCTGTTTAGTCACCACAGGAGGGAAGTCACAGTGGTCCAGAGAGTGCTGTTTCTCGCACTTTCCGGCCTGTGTAAAGCACACTGCGCTGGTGCTTGTGAAATATTAGCTTAAGTCCTGCAACTAGCTTGTTCGCTCTTAGGCCTCGCCAGGCCGTTCTCCTACCCGCTTCAGAAAGTGCCCTGCCCTTTGTATTTGACAGGTGACAGTCCCAGGGACTTTCTGGGCACCGAGGGAGACTCGGGTCTGGCTGACCCTAAGGAGCAGTGTTGTTTAGATATGATGGCATTCATGGGCGCCGTAAAGAAGGCTTCGTAGCTTTGCTTTGCTTTTCGTTTTTTGGCGTGGCTTTTTACTTTCCCTTTGGCTGCAGGTCTCTCTGGATAAAGGGGACAGAAAGGACCGGGACTTACACGAAGACCTCTGGTTCGAGCTGTCCGACGAGACGCTATGTAACTGGATGATGTTCGTGCGCCCGGCCCAGAATCACCTGGAGCAGAACCTGGTGGCTTACCAGTACGGCCAGCATGTGTACTACACGACCATCAAGAACGTGGAGCCCAAGCAGGAGCTCAAGGTCGGGCGCTGGCCTGGGCGGGGCTTCAGGGCGGCCCCCAACTGCCCTAAAGTGGGGTTCTCTTTTCTTTAGAGGTTTTGTCACAGGGTGTGTGTGCTCGCTGGAGAGACACAGTGAGAGGGAAAGTGAGAAACCACCCTACGGGGGACGGCTGCACCGCAGTCCCTTCTCTTCTATTCTTTCCCTGGAACTTTGGGCACGCATGCACACATGCCCCGGTGTGGTTTCAAAGCTGCGAGGTTTGGGACTCAGACCACAGTCAGCACCTTAACCACCACACTACCTGCGGGCCCTAGCGTGGGGTTCTCACAGAATGGTCCTTTCCTGGCAATTCACTTATTTACCAGGGGGCTCCTGTGCCCGCTCAGCTGTGATCACCCTCTCGCTGGTGAGCGAGCGGCGTTTGGTGCTCGTCACAGGCCGGCACACGTGTTTCTAGCTGGGCTCAGAACTGGTTGTCAGGGAGCGTTCTGGCATTTGTGATGGAGCGGCGAAGGACAGTGTCAGTAACGTCCTTCACGCACTCTCAAGGAGAATTAGCTGGGAAAGAAATAGTGTTGTTTTTTGGAGAGGTTTTTGCTACAGGGCGTGTGCGCTCGCCAGCCAGCCAGAGAGAGACAGAGAGACAGAAAGCGAGAAATCACCCCCCAGGGGGGATGGCCACGCCAGGATCCCTTCTCCTCCATTCTCCTCTCGGGATCTTGGGCACGCACGCACATGCGCCTGGCCTGAGTTTTAAGCCACCGGGTCCGGGACGCGAACTGCGGTCGACTATGGGGGAGTCCAGCGACATAGCCATTACGCTAACTGCTGGTTCCCGGGAAATAGTGTTTTGTAAGATGGAGCGAAGATGTAGGGCAAGTCTCTTTCTCCGAATACTTCATTTTACTCGAGCACACCTGTGTGCAGCCTCCAGTTAAATGAACGTATTTTTGGGCATAACTCTACTGGAATTTGTCTAAATAGCAGCACTTGGCGACATAATAAAAATTCTGCTATGTTTCTCAGTGGAAATTCCTTTATTTTTCAAAGCTGTGTAAGAGACATGGCTAAAAGAGGGGGCCTGAATTCTCTTCAGCTTCCTGACATGTTGGTAGATGAGAAGTGATTGTGTCAGAACTCAGTCCTGACGGCAGACAGCCTCCACGCGTACAAGTTAGAGATGATATCTCTGCACGAGAAAGCGGAGACCTGGATTTTCTTCAAAGCTACATGAAACGCCTGTCTTTGAAACTGTCGTCCAGATAATTCGTAGACCTCGAAGAGAACACGTAAAAGGAGAATCCCATCTCATGCTATCTGTCTGGCAGATCGTGGAGGGGGGTCTCAGCGGAGCTCCCAGTCTGACTTCTTTTAAAAACAGGCTGTGGGCAAAGCCCGAACTGTTCCCGGGGAATGGAAGTCACTTAAGCAGGCCCAGAGCACGCCCTGGCCCTCAGCCCCTGACGGTGTGCTTGTTCCCACAGGTGTGGTACGCCGCGTCCTACGCCGAGTTCGTGAACCAGAAGACCCACGACATCTCTGAGGAGGAGCGGAAAGGTGATCGCGTCCGGCATTTGCTGTCCCCACTGCTCTCCGAGCTGCGTGTTCCCCTCCTGCAAGCGCTTGTTTCTCGGGCTCAGTTTGTCCCCAATCTTCCCGAAGGTTTCTGAGAGCCCCACGTCTCCGTCTAGCTCTAGGGTCATTATGATGCCATCTCTACCTTCCTCTCACGAGCGCTAGCAGATAGTGTGTATTAGGTCGTCAGGAAGTCGTCACGTATTTTTCTGTTTTAGTATGCAAACATGTGTCATGCCTTTCCCGACGACCCAATAATACAGCGAAAACCTCCACATACCAAGTTACGATAGAGCCCAGGCCAGAGGACGGCTCATACCCAGATCTCGTCATCTCTAGGGACGTAGTGGACAGGCGTGGACTTTGTGTTTAGTGTAAGTGTCTCTGGAGTTGAATCCACAGACTGAAAAGCACACAGTCGCAGCATGCAGCGTGACCAAAGTGAACACATGTGTAGCCCGCACACACAGCGGGAATCAGGCCCGACCCCATGCCCGGTGTGCCTTCCGGTCCCCGCACACTCTCCTACCGCGGAGCTGCCTGTGCCGCGTGCCACTGGGCTGTGCAGACGGAACTCCACGCCCGTCTGACCCGAGCTCCTGTGCTCGTGTTCTGGCTGGGAGATGCGTCCCACTGTTCCGTGGGACTGTCACGTGTTCATTCTCATTGCTGTCTGGCGTTCTGTCATCTGAATGTGTCACAGTTTGTCCGCTTGCCTGTGGTTTTGGTTGTGTACTGCAGGACTGACACCAGCTTCCCTGAGTAGGACACATGTCACAGACCCCTTCATACCCCTCTGGCTTCAGACACCACCCATGGCTCTGATTCCCAAGCTGCCTGTACTTCCGATCCACCAGTTACAACTCGGGGTTCCCAGCTGCCTCTCAAGTTGGATCTCTGACTAGAACGACTGGCAGAAGTCAGAAAAGTGCTATGCTCACCCGTTACGATTTTGTAACGAAGGACATATCAGGACCCCCCCCAAATGAAGAAATGCACGAGCGAGGGTCAGGAGGGTCCCCAGTTGATGCTGTGTCCTCAGGGCCTGTCATGCTCCTAGCACCATGAAGACTGGTTTCCAACTGTGGAAGCTCACTGTGTCCAGAGCTTCTCCTGTGGTGCATTACATTCGCACCATCCTTGAATCACTGGCCTTGTGCTCGAACTCGGTCCCTAAGTCAGCAAGTCGGGCTGATGTCACCTGGCTCAGAGCTTCAACCTTCTGACCAGGTGGTTGAGCTTTCTGGTGCGGCCAGCCCCGTTCTGGTCACCTCATGGGCGTAACTCCGGTGGGGAGGGGGCCCCCAGGAATAGCAAAGCAGCCCTTGTCACCGGGGAAGTTCCTGCGATTCAGCGTTTACCTCCCAAGGACTGGAGGGACCGGGGACAGAGTCGTGCAGCTCCTTATACAGCAGGACGTTGCAGGCTTTGGCTGACTGAAGAGTGCTGCCGTGGCCACTCCTGCGTGGGTCTCTTACGCACTGCTCTGCAGGGTGTCCGTAGGAGTGGAGCTGCCGACCACGTGGTGTGTACACATTCAGCTTTAGTGGGTATTGCAGGACATCTTGCTGAAGTGATCCTTCAATGCATTCTTCAGATGATTGACATTTGAAGTTACGCGTTATGAAATAAACCTTAGATTATAAAACTCGGGTCTGGATCACCAGATTATCTGATACAGACCTCTTGTGTAGACTTTCTGTCTTCCCAGTGTGGTGAGGGTGTGTGTGTGTACGCGCACTTGTGTTCTGTGTAGCCGGGAGTGGGTAAGATGGGATGAGGGTATTCGTTCCTTTGATGTCGTACATGAACATGTCAGAAAAAGACACTTAAAATCCGCTTTCTGCCACATCGACCCTTTGATTTTGTAACAGCACAGTAAGACACATAGCAGATACTCTTTGGGCCGCAGGAGGTGAGAACGGGGGCCGTGGGCCTTTGATTTTACTGCCGTTTGTTGCTCACCGGCCTGTCTGGTTCCTCTCCTGTGACTGTAGTGCTTCGAGAGCAAGAGAAGAACTGGCCCTGCTATGAGTGTAACCGCCGGTTCATCAGCTCCGAGCAGCTGCAGCAGCACCTCAAATCTCAC